TCATCCTTTTGCAGGCACCTTTAAACCAACTATTCCTACAAACTTCAGGGAATGTCCTATCAAGGTTCTTTTTTCACATAAGGGAGTCTAAATAGTTTTAATATCTCATCTAAATTATGCAGACAATTAGGCACTGGATTAAACTGCAGAATCTTATTAACAAGGGTGTTACAAAGGGTCAAACCCATTATAGTTTGAGCCTTGTCACTAGAGTTAGAGCTCTAGAGCTCTAGATTCAGTCTTCTTTCTCTTGCTGAATCACTAATAAACTATGAGCTGATCACTTGAACGCGTCTGAACCCAATATATTTCATGATAATTTCCCAAGAAGTCACCAACTTTTAGGAACTTAAAGTGAGAAGCTCTTTTGTACAACTAAAAATTCCAGAAGTTGAAATCTCGGACCTCCTGCATAGAAAGCCTGGCTTGGAACCTAGCTAGATACTTCTACAGATGCAAGGATTTTCGCCCATTGAGCACAATTTCCCCCTTCCCCTCCCACATGAGTCTGAAATGGCTCCTGAAATCCTGTTCTTGGAGCAGAGGGAATTCCCAGGAGCAGGATTTCAGGAGGCATTTGGGGCTGCTGCCAGAGGAAAGAGGCAGGAAAATTGTGATCCGTGCGTGGAAATCCATGGAAATGTTAGTCTGGATCCAACCTCATGTCCCTTGCCCCTGCGCCTATAGCCTAAGCCTTGTCCACTAAAGCTGGGTCTAAAAAGAAATCTCTGACTGCAGATATTTCAATAACCAGATGCCCTGTCTCCAGATTTTTCCTTTGTGGGGGATGGTGCTCAAGAATATGGTGGTATATCAGTTCCAGATGAGACAGATCTAGAACTCTTTCAGTCTGGTTTCTGGCCTAAGTATGGGGCTTATATCAAATTAAAGTGCGGCTGTTGTTCTTTTAAAGCCTTAATGTGGGTCGTGACTACCCTTGCAAGAGGCCCCGAGAAAACCATTGAGGGCATCCAATGAAGCTGAAGGACAGGAGATTCAAGACAGACAAAAGGAAATACTTCTTTACGTAGAAAGTGATTAAAATGTGGAATTCACTGCCAGAGGATGTAGTGAAGGCCACAGGAATAAACAGCTTTAAAAAGGAATGAGACAGATTCATGGAGGAGAGGTCTATCAGTAGCTACTATTCATAGGGGAGAAGAAGAAAAAGAAGAGATTGGATTTATACCCCGCCCTTCACTACCCAAAGGAGTCTCAGAGCAGCTTACAAACTCCTTTCCCTCCCCATAACAGACACCCTGTGAGGTAGGTGGGGCTGAGAGAGCTCTGACAGAAACTGCTCTTTTTCAAGAACAGCTGTGCCAGAACTATGGCTTGCCCAAGGGCATCCAGCCAGGTGCAAGTGGAGGAGTGGGGAATCAAACCCGGTTCTCCCAGAGTCTGCACACTTAACCACTACACCAAACTGGCTCTAAAGGGAACCTCCACATCCAGAGGCAGTCAAGCTCTGAATTCCAGAACCAGGAGCAGGGCTTTTTTTAATGGGGGAACGCACTGGAATGGAGTTCCAGAACCTCTTTGACAAAATTCTTTTAAAAATATTTAAAAGTTCATGAGTTTTCAGTATACAGATTGAAAACTTCCATTTCCCTCTTGAGAGTCCCAGCACCTCTTTTTCCAAGGGAAAAAAACCCCTGGCCAGGAGGCAACATCAGGGGAAGGCCTCTGCCTCTGTGCTCTGTTGTTGGATCTCCAGGGGAACTGGCTGGCCACTGTCTGAGACAGGATGCTGGTCTGGATGGACCACTGCTCTGATCCAGCATGGCTCTTCTTCTATACTTAACCATCGTGTCCCTTGAACGGAAGCTTACAGTGCTGTCCAAAGCAGAGTTACACTGTTCTAAACCCAGTGACTTTAATGGACTTAGAAGGGTGTAGCCCTGTTTAGGATTGTGTGCTATCATGTGGAAATCAGCTGCTGAAGCTTTTCATGGCATGGAAGTAAATAACATCACCTGGTAAATAACATCCTGTGTAAACCTCTATTCAAGAGACAGGACATTTTTTTCTCCAGGCAGTTGGCAACCCTACTTGGGACCAAGGTCTTTGAAAGACTGTTTCCATGTGTAGAAACCTACCCAGGGCTTGAGATCTGCCGGTGGTTTGCGTGCATATTTAAAGAGGCAAAGTTAGCAGGTGTCTCTGTAACAGGACCTTCATGGATGTCTGCACCAGATGGTGGTATTCTTTGCCTCCTAAAACTTGTTTGGCTCCTTCCCTCATGGAGTTTTGGTGATCCATTAAGACCTTTGGACAGGATGAAGTAAATCAGCAAAAGCCCTATCTCCATTCCTGTCTCTATGTCAAATTTGATTAAAACTAAAACAAAAACCAAAAGCACTTTCTGCTGAATATGTGTCATTGTTCCTGTCCCCCTTCCACAGGTCTTGTCTGAGTAGCTGAGTTTTGTTTATTTAATTTATAAACATTTATTCAAAATGTTTATAAACCTGCCTATATTCTAGACTCTCGTGGTCTGAAATATGGGATTTAGTTTTATTTTTACTAGATCGTGGCAAGATTTCAGGGCTTGACTCAAACCCTGGGTTTGAATCAAAGACACAGCTGGATTCAATTAATAGACAGCACTTCAACCAGAAGCTACTGGCTATGATATTTAGGGGAGCATCTTTTTGTACTGACAGTTTTTAATGCCTATGCTACAAATTTTCATGCAAGGAAGAGATACAATCCATGCTGCATCTTGGGATCTGTGGCTCTGTTTCTTACTTACCGAAACACTTACTGTTTCATATGTGCAAGATCTTCTACTTTGTACATACCTGATGACTAGCCTTGTGGCTGAAGTCTTGGGCTGCCCTACTTTCTGACCACTGGCCCACCGCTCTGCTCTCCTAGAGCCTTTTTAAAAGTTTCACATTTCTTGTAGCAGAAGCTAAACCCTTTATTAAGAAGGGAATTGAGCTTGTGAATCTGAGGGAAGGGAGTGCACAGGCACAGGAAATGCACAAAGACTAATTCTGGGAACAAAGGAGGGAACCAATGAAAATGGATTATGATAAAAAGGTAATGACAGGTACCCAAATAAATATTCCAAATAAGACTGTTAAGTTTGGCCTGGATACATTCTAAGAATGGAACTTCCATTTTCAGAGGTGGTATACCTTACCAGCTGCAATCGCTACTAGACCTGTTTAATAAAACTTGGGTGGAATCTTATTTAACCACTGTCAGAGAATGTTGGACCTGGCCTACGGTCACACATGCAGTTTGTGGCACTATAGTAGCATTATCTGAGAGGAATAAATGGGCCTCTCCAGATGAGAACACCTGCCTCCCGTGGCACAGTTATCAGCAGCCCGTGCTGTTCCGCAATGGAAGTGGAAAAAACAGATAGGTCCTGCATTAATGGGTTGTCTGGGGTTCCCTCTAGGTTTTCCAACATCTGAGCTTTCCTGCAGTGAAAGGAACCCAGAAGGGATGTGTTATGTACGCGGACCGCCACCAGGGGTCCGCAGCACAGGTAAGAGCTTGGATCCTAGAAACCTTGGATCCTGGATCCCCCAGCCCCAACCAATAGCCACTTTGGCGGGACATTCAAACCCTCCAATGGGAATGGGGGGTTGCTGGGTGGATATGTATATAGTTGGCCTGCCGGCCATTAGAGTTCAGTACAATAAACATGTGCTACAGTATGTCGTCGTCTGAGTCCTCCATGCGGCGAACCCAGTACTTTTCAGGATGTCTGAACTTGCAAACCCGTTTCCGCCACTGTTTTTTTTAGTTGCTGCCTATCAATGTTCCCTCTAAGCTGTGGAGTCTTGTGAGCAAAAATTCTACTTTGTGAGCTACTGGCATTAAAGTTGTGAGCAAGCACTTTGGCTCCTGCATAAATCAGTTTGCTCTGGAGCCCTCCTTCCTGAGCTAAGACAAAAATGTGTGAGCCAGAGGCTAAAAAACTGTGAGCTAGCTCACGCTAACTCAGCTTGGAGGGAACACTGCTGCCTATATGTGCATATCTGCATCCATTTGCTTTCATTTAAATAAAACCCACTCTTATGGTTCATCCCGTGGTTGAAGCTCAACACTAATGTGGATGCCCCCCACCCTCCATGGGACGGCCGCATGGGTAACCCACCACAGGGTGTGCGGTCTGGATGGAATGCTCCACTACACTTTGAACCGGCACAATTTGAGGCGCCGCCATGCCACACCAAGCCGCCAGTGTGACCTCAGCCCTGTGCTCTGATTCAGCAAGTCATTTCCTATGTCTTTATATATTCACTATTCTACCTTCTAAGCAACTTAAATCAATGGAGAGTTAAATAATCTATATAAATGTTGTTGACCAGTGTAGACTAGTGTGGCGTAATGATTAAGAGTGTCACACTAGTATCTGGGAGACCCAGTTTCAAATCGCTACTCATTCCCTGGAACCACGCTGGGTGGCCTTGCAACGATCACACTCTCTCAGCCTAACCTCCCTCACAGGGTAGTTGTGAGGATAAATGAAGGAGAAGAAAATGATGTAAGCCGCTTTGGGTCCCCATTAAGATGGGGTATAAATGAACTAAATAAATAAAATAAATAACTACATTTTATATTGTAACAGGAAGGACTGCATTTTCCTTTCTTTCCATCTATTTCTTACAAACCCTTTCCAGTTTCCCCCACAAAAGCTGCCTTCGTGCCTAAAAACCTGTTATTCATGTGTGATTGCACACGCTATTATTCATTCCAATAAGGAAAAATTAAAGCCAAGAGAAGCGCTGTAGCAATTTGATGAGCCTTTGATTGGAAACGGGCAGGGACTCTGTGCCTTTGTCAGGTCTTGCATTCTATAATACTGACCTGACGGTCAGGCTGAGAGGTAATCACCACGCAGGTAACTAGGCAACCCAGAGTATTTAAGAAGGTATGAGCCTGACTCCCTCTCCCCTTTTGGTTTCTTGAGTGGGTACCTGCAGGCCACTCTTGAGCAGAAGAACAGCACTACAGAGAGTACGACTGCAAGCAACATGTGCTTTGGGAGGTGTGCTAGATACATTGGGTACCAGCTACTAGTCCTTGCCTTGCTGTGCATTGTGGCCAATGTTTTGCTTTATTTTCCTAACGGTGAAACAAGATTTGCTGCACATAATCTCCTCGGCAAGTATGTGGGCTGTCTTCATGGCATTATAGGAGGAGGTCTTGTGGTGAGTACGACTGAAGAATTCTTTCATTTCTCGATTTGGACCATCATGCGTGCCAGGAGGGTTTTCTTCCCTCGGTTGCTGGATTTCTCTCTGGAACATTCCAAGTTGCCTAGTTGGATTAGAGGTATAAAGATACCCGCCTTTTGGCAGGCTCTTCTCCTTTCCACTCCTTCAAGACTTCCTAATCGATGCCTTGTGGCCATGTGCAACTTTGACCAAGACCCCTGGCCAACACCCTAGAAATGGCAAGCCATTAAGAAGCATCTTGAAGACAGGGTGGCCAACAGGTTTTCCTTTTAATAGAGGCTTGATGGGATGTTATTTACCAGCTGTTCACTGCCACACGTCAAGCCTCTGTTAAAGGGACAGGACCTTTTGGTGATGGCCTGTTGGAAACCTACTTGAAGAACTATAGCTCTTAGAAGTAGTGATAGAAGCTCTTAGGAAAAAATTATATTGCTGTTTTTTTCTGTTCCAGGGCAAATAACTATTGGCGGCGGCGGGGGGGGGGGCAGAATTCAATTGTGAAAACTGTAGGTTTTAAACCTCCTGCCCTGCCCTGCGTCTCCAATCCAAAGCTGGGTTCTCCTGGGCTGCAATCGAAACTTTGAACAATGGAGAACAATCCAGTCGTGGATCTCCCATTACTACATCTAGTTTGTCCTGAGTGATTCCTTTCCTACTACGCTTTGTGCTGTTATTATGCCTGTGGGTGGACTGAGAAATTAAAATGGCCCTGGAGAAAGGCCAAAGGCAAAGGCAGCATAAGGGATTAGATTCATGGAGAATAGATCTATCAACGGCTATGAGATGTGATGACTAAAGGGAACCTCCACATTCATAGGCAGCCGACCTCTGATTCTCACCAGGAGACAACCTCAGGGGAAACCTCAGCCTCTATGCCCCATATTTGGACATCCTGAGGAACTGGTTGGCCACTGTGTGAGACAGGATGCTGGAGGAGATGGACCACTGGTCTGGTCCAGTGAGGCTGTTCTTATGTTCTTGTGCCAGCTGAATGGCTCTGGCTGAGCAACAAGACAGAACTTCAGAGCTACTCAACTCAGCCTTGCCCTAATGAGATTGGAAAGGATGCTTGGGTGATGTGGACCAAACACCTTTCTGGAGCCTTGACCCTTGTTGCAGTTCATTGAATGAGGGCAGATGTTAAATGCTGGAGACTGCACTTAAACTAACTTATAGAAGCTTAATTTTGAATGCAGGAGGCAATGGAATATAGCAAGTGGACTGTAAGCCTCTAAAATAATTTTTAGGGAAAGCTTGAGTGTAAATTATAAACATAAACCACTTCTATGAAACACAAAAGAGAGACCCGCCCCACCTTTCAGCAACAGAATTTACATGTATAAAATTGCCTTGCATGTATGCATTTATAGTTGGCCTATAAATACCATCTACAAATGTGTAACCTTTTATACACAAAAGTCATTTTACTCACGTAACTTCTCTCAGTGAAGGATCAGGAGGCTATTTTGTTTTTATAGGTGGCCTGTAAATAAATGATAGCTACAGATACTTTAACTGTACAAAAGTGTTACAAATGTGATTTTTAAACAAGTTTAAAGTATAATACCTTTTTGGATGGCTTCTATATGGAATATATTCTCCTGAGACTTGCTAAGATTAAAGAGGTCAATGGGTATATGCACTGAGGGTTGTAAGCTGGACATTAACAAATTCAGGTTGCAAACTGGAAGTTTAAAATTATGGAACTCTTACCCTGGAACAGTTCAAGTTTGCAAAAAACATGAGTAAAATTGCATACTTTTGTGAATACCTCATTTTTATATGAGTGTCTCAACCATCGAGCATTGTTCTAAGTTTTTCTTGTCAGTGAATTTGAGTTTTTCCTCCTTTGTAAGGCATCTGGGATTGCCACAAGTAGAGACAGGATTTTGGATGGTGTGCATTTGGGTAAACTTTCCACCCAATAAACATTTACCCTGGGGACACTGGAATGAGTTTTGCTGGCACTTGGAGTCTGATGGATAAAATGTGTTATTGTAGGATGGCAAACTGGTGGCCCATAGGTTGGATCCATTCACCAGAGCAGTATTACCTGGACTCTGGATAATCAAGTTTTCCAGCTCTTAGTTGAGGTGTGGTCAAGTTTGCTGTGAGTTTTATGAGGCAAAGCAAAATAATATTTTCAAGCTGAAAGAGATAAAGGTTAACTTTGCTGTTGCCTCTGCCTGTACCATAGAACAGAGGATAACCCCCACCAGCATCACAGAAGATGACCATTCTTGGCCTAAAGTCTGGCTGGAGTCTTTCTTTTCCTGATGAGACTTTGAATCATCTGAAGGTGTTAGGCGTACAGGCAATTCTTTGGGCTTCACCTGCGCTCTGCTTTGTTGTCTGGATAGCGTGGCTTCATCTGCGGAGAAGCCTAGCATGCAATGCCTAATTAGTTGACCCTCCCATTATCATTTTTTGATCAGTGATTTACTGAAATTTCCATCATCACAACAACAATGGAAATAAAGAATAAACTATCTGCAAATTTTGAAATTCAGAAAAGTATTATTTAGATGGTATAAACGTGTTCTAGAAGAGAAGCTCCTAAAATTAAAGTATATTATTAGCCTGTGATCTCTGTGAATTCACATTCTTGAATTCTTCAATGTTTTGCAACAGGACGAAAAAGAGAAAGGGTGGAGGGGATGGTATGCTCTTTCCCAAAACAAGCATGCTGGTGGAATATTAGGTAGCCGTAGGTGTTGCGTTAGTTAGAGCAACCTAGTTGTCATCAAAGTACTCTAGCTAGTCATCCAATATGCCATATCTGGTCACCCTGTTTAGAAAAGGATATTGCAGAACTGGGGAAAGTATAGAAGTGGGCAACCAAGATTTATCTGTCTGTTAAATTTTTCTCCTGCCCTTCCACCAAGGAGTTCCAGATGGCATACATGATTCTTCCTCCTTTGTGTTACCCTTGCAACGACCCTGTGAGATCAGTCAGGCTGTGAAAGAGAGCACCTAGCTCTAGGTCACCTGGTGAGCTTCATGGCAGAGTGTAGGTTTGCACTCATGGCCCCCTCATCTCAGCCTCCATGATTCTACAAGCAATTGTTTCCAAGTGAATGGGGTACTGATCTGAGCTGGGCCATGCGGATCAAGTTTGGCAGCTAATCAGGAACTTGTGATATCGAGATGAAAATAAAAATGCAACAAATGGAACAAAATGTAAATCATACTAAGAGGCAATGTGATGTAGTGGTTAAGAGTGTCAGACTAGTGTTTTGCAGACCTGGATTCAAATCCCCACTTTTACTATGGAAGCCTGCTGGGTGACCTTGGGCCAGTTCCTCTCCTTCAGCTAGACCTCACTTTCAGGATTGTTGTGAGGATAAAAATACAGGAGAGGAGAATGATGTAAGCCTGTCTGGAGAAGGGTGGGGTACAAATGAATTAAACAAATAAACACTCGTTTTATGTCAATTCAGGTTTTGGTTCCAGCATTCACACTTATTGGATTAGAACACGATCGTTGCCACGGCTGCTTTGCCCACGAACACTATGGGAGGAATTGCGCAGTAAGTAAACCCGTTCCCGTTCCAGCCATTTAAAGATGGGTGCCGATTAGAAATACAATAGCTGTTGACGATTCCTTTCTGTTTTCATACTGCAGCCCCTGGTAGTAGTCCTGGTAGCCTGTATTGGCATTGCTGGTGCTGCATACTGCTTCATCATTTGCTGTTTCGCCTTGTCCCAGGGCCCGTACTGTTTCTGCTGGCCTGAGAGAATCTGGTGCTATCCATTCTCTAACTCCTACGGAGGGTATGTAATTTCTTGCATGCATGAAAGGATTCTGGGTAAGCACTGGGTGGTTGTGGATCTGAGCAATTCCAGGGTGTCACATGGTAGCCATCAGAACCTCTGTTGAGAATTTGCACTTGTCTACTGATGGGCCCTGCCTATTTTTATCAACTTGCAGAAGTCTCAGAGTAAGATTACATCTCCTGACTGGACTGATCCGAATGCAGGTTATCTTTAAATTATATGAACTGTCAGCAAGAGTGTATGGTATTTTAATCTGAAATGGTAAGTCTGGGCTTTAGCACTTCAGAATGCAAGATAGGACTCACTGGATAGACTACTCCCCCACAGGGCTGGAACCCTGAGGAAAAATCCAGGATGGGGCCCCAGAATCACTGCCACCCCCCCTGCCATCCTCATACTGAGGCCAACCAGGGAGCAGCTCTCACCCCATCTGAGGTGGGTCGGAGGCCACTGGAAGCCAGCTGACTGAGCCCCAGATGAGGAGGGTGCAAATGACGGCAGGAGCATCTTCTTCTTTTCCTCCATCCTTTGAGAAGGCAGGGTGTGGGCAGTCACGGTCTCTCCATGCCCTTTGGCTAAGACTGCCCCTGTTCTCCATACAAAAGAATCCCCCACACCAGAAAACCTATGTTGCTGAGACAAGGCTAGGCTATAAAAGCCTTTCCTCTTGACGACAAGATTTTTCTATATTACCTCTTTATCCTGCCCTTTCTGAAAGGAATTCAGAGTGGCATATGAGGTTTGTCCCTCCTAGGGATGCCAGCCTCCAGGTGGGACCTGGAGATCCCCTGGAAGTACAGCACATCTCCAGACTACAGAGATTAGTTCCTCTGGAGAAAATGGATGCTTTTAAGGGTGGACTTTATGGTATTGTACCCTGTCCTCCCCAGACTCCTTCCTCAAATCTCCAGGAGTTTCCCAACCTTACTCCCCCCACCAGTGGCCAGGGGGGACCTGGCAACCCTAGTCCCTCCTCCAAAACCATTACCCTCACAACAACTCAGCAGGGTAATTTAAGTTGAGACAGAATGATTGGCCCAAGGTACCCGCTGCCACGTACCCTACCACAGCTCCGAAGACTCAATAACACTTTGGAAGAGAGGGAAGCAGTTTCCATTGATTCCCTGACTTTGCCCCTTAGGCTGTTCCTGAAGGCCCCACTGACACCCGGAAACAAAACTGGAGGGCTCCGTAGGCTGCTGCAACAGGAGGCGAAAGGGGAAAAGTCCTGCTTCATGAAGGCTTTGGGCGGTTGCGTATGCGCCACTAAGTGCTCAGAAATGTTAACCTGGTTTTTTGTGGACTGTAATTCAGATATGCGATTAATAGATGAAACCACCTTCCACACATACCTGATGAGATATAGTTACCACCTCAGTGAGAAGTAGGCCTTGGTCAAGATACATTAAAGGGGGGGGGGAATTCAGTGCTAAGGAATGATGCCCACACTAATTTAACTCAGTGCAATTTTGAACTTCTAAGCCATACATGTGAACAAGTAGCATTGTTCGGCTGCCAGTTTGTTTGGTAGTTGGCTGCCAGGTTGTTTCCAAGTTGAGTTCAAAGAGCTTCAAAACCTTTCACAGACGAGAACCCACATATCTGAAAGACTATCTCTCCCCTGTACCAATGACAGTGTTTTGCTGTCACTTTCTCAATGTTTCCCTACTTAAGGCTGCCTGCTTGGCATCCGTCAGTACATTTCTTTTCACTAGTGGCTCCCACTTTCGGGAATGGGCTCCCTGAAGAGATGAGGAGAGATTATGTCCTTAGGAGACATTGTGAGGCCCTTTCCCCCCCCAATGAGGTTTAACCTTTGGGCATTTTTGGTGGGGTGTTATAGGGGTTTTACTGTGTTTTGTTCTCTTTTTTTGGTGAGTATTTTGTGTGTGCGTGTGTGCTTGTGTGCCTGGAAGCCATGCTGACTTCTGGTGACCCCTAGTGGGGCTAGGATGTTTCAGAGAGGTGGCTTGATATTCCTAGCCTCTGCCTCCCAGTCCTGGCCCTGGTATTCCTCAGAGGTCCCCCATCCAAATACTTGCCAGGGTCGGCCCTGCTTAGCGTCTGAGATCTGACGAGATCGGGCTTGCCTGGGCCACCCAAGTCAGGGCTCCTGTGTTTTGTTTCCTGACCTGGATGGTCCAGGCTGGCCCGATTTCATCAGTACTTGGATGGGAGACTACCAAGGACGTCTGGGCCGCTCTGCAGAGGCAGGCAAAGCACTTCTGAACGTCTCTTGCCTTGAGGACCTTATGAGGCTGCCATAATTTGGCTGCCCCTTGACAGCACTTCCCACCTCTGTATTTCGTATGTTTTAGATCTTGGAACTTTGGTGACAAATGAATATATTAATTAATAATGTGTGGGAAGCATGCCTCCTCAAAGGAAATTAAAAGAAAAATGGGGACAAATAATGGCAGTTTGGCAGAGCAGCACTGTGGAGAAGGATCTACTTGTTGGCCAAAGTGACCCGTTCTCCCTCCCCCCCTTCCAAGGCTACAAAATTAACATCTGCTATTTGTTTCAATAGGTACTTGCTCGAGCACAACAACTGGTCTCTTTGTCGGGAGCCAAAGTACATTATTCAGTGGAACATAACCCTTTTTTCCATCCTGCTGATCTTGAGTGGGTATGAATTGATTCTGTGTATCCTTCAGATAATACATGGCTGCATTGGAGGTGCTTGGGCTATGTGTCACGGTGAAAGAGAGGTGAGTGCATTTAAGAGCTACCCAAAGCTCCACAAAAGTATTCTGGGAATTCTTTGATCACAACAAAGCTGCCCACAATATTTTATGAGCTGACTCAGCCAGCCAAGTATGGCCATAACAGCTTGGAAGTTCTTGTGCGGGCAGTGAGAAGGGAACTGCAGCTCAGGAGAGTCAACCATCTGCTTAAAGCGGTGGGACTTCAAGGTGCTCGGCAGCAATCCAGCGGGGAGTTAACATACACTCATGTGTTTATCGGTGTGTTGGTCTGTGTAGCTTTTGACCTAACCTGAATCGTTTTAGTACAACCTTCTCCCTCCCCCTGGTTGTTCAACATCACATAGGTGATGTTTGAGTGATAGCTCACTTACGCACAAGTAGGAATGTTGCATCCCTTTGGATTGACTGACTCTATCCCTTTGGCTTGGCCCTTGTGGTGCTGTTATGTCCCACACCAGCAGCTCCTCCAACATGACAGGGTTTTTTTTCCTGTTTGCAGAAGAGGGGAGGCTGGTTTTTGCTCATTTCTCCCTTGCAGACTCCCCATTTGCCCTTCCCCATGGTTCTTTTGGGTCCACCAGCTCAAAGAAACATGATTTCAGGGGACAATGAAAGCTGCAGTGGGGGTTGGCCAGGGTCGCCAACACACCCTCCAATGCCCCCTCATGGAGGCCTCAGACTAGAAAGGGGGAAGGGGTTAACAGCACCCTCGGTCTTCCTCCTCTCTACTGCCCTCCCCTGTAGTCAGTTACCTGGCAGGAAAACTAGCCTTTTCCAGGCCCGACTAAGAAGAGAAGAGTAGGTTTTTATACCCTGCTTTTCTCTACCCTCAGGAATGTCAGAGCGGCTTACAATCACAGTCCCTTCCTCTCCCCACAAGAGGCACCTTGTGAGGTAGGTGAGGCTGAGAGAGCTTTGAGGGTAGTGTGATTGGCTCATGGTTTGCCCAGCAGGCTTCAAGTGGAGGAGGAGTGGGGAATCAAACCTAGTTCTCCTGATTAGAGTCCACTACTCTTAACCGCTATACCATGCAGGCACTTGGCGGCTTAAGGGAGACTCCCTGAGGTATGCCTGCCCCCTCCTCTTCCTGCCTCCCTGAGAGATGGCCCACCTTCCTGGGTTGATTTGCAGGAACTATTGCCAATCAGATGTGACTGGATCAGGCTGGCCTCCAGCCTCACCCTCCGGCTCCCTTAAACGGCTGTCCTGCCTCCCCCCCCAACCAGCTGGTGCCAGAAAATTAACACTCAGGGTTGCCCCATGTGGTGGCTGTTCCAGCCTCCAGATGAGACCTAGGGATGCCCTGGAATTACAGATCATCTACAGACTGCAGAGATCAGTTCCCTGAAGAAAATGGATGCTTTGGGGGGTGGGCTCTATGACATTGTACTCCCCTGAGTTCCTGTTCTCCCCAGTATCCATCACCAAATCTCCAGGAGTTCCCCAACCTGGATCTGGCAACCCTACCTCCCCCCCCCATACTCCACCAGTGGCCAGGGGAGGACCTGGCAACCCTATGCCCAGCCCTGCAATGTTGGGCGTGCTGCCGGTCTCTTGGCTTCAATGAGCCTGCCACCTGGAGGGCAGACAGACTGCCCCGCTGTGACAACTGGCATGGCCAGGGCTGCTGCCAGGCTACCCCAGCTGGCCCTCCCCCCTCATCTTTTTTTTTAAGTATGGGGGTGCTGGGACTACCGCTGGACCACTGTACAAAAATGTGCTAGATAGATATGAACTCAACAGCCCTGTGAGATACATTAGGCAGAAAGGAAGTGACTTACCCAAGACTAACCAGTCAACTTCATGGTACTGGCTTTGGTTAAAAAAAAAAAAAAATCCGGGGTTTAATAACGTTTGAGTCCAGTGGCACCTTTAAGACCAACAAAGTTTTATCCAAGGTATAAGCTTTTGTGTGCAAACATACTTAGAAGTGTGCTTGCACACGAAAGCTTATACCTTAAATAAAACTTTGTTGGTCTTAAGGGTGCCACTGGACTCAAACTTTATTCTGCCGCTTCAGACCGACACGGCTACCCACCTGGATCAATCTGGGGTTTGTTTTTGTTTGTTTCCTTGCTTATTTGTTTTGCTGTACAATTGAAAAACCTGTGCTTATGATCTAAAACAAGATGGACTCAAAATCAGTGGGAAATGATCCACTCAAGTTCTTTGGAAAATCTATGGAATCTGAAATGGCCTGCTTACCCTGGACAAGTGGAAAAGACTTTAGATTCTGGGATTTCACTGTCTAGCATTTACCAAATGTATGTCTTCTTTCTTTTGCAGAAAAACCCTTGTTAGAATATTTGGACTTGACAATCATTGACAGCATCACCACAATTATGCATGTATTTTTTTGACCTGACTTCTCAACACTTTTATTATTGTGACTTGTTTTATATGGCATATGTTGTCAACTGTTATGAAGATAATAGTTTTCTCATGTTTTGTAAAAGTTCCCAAAAAACAATATGAATTTGAATTTAGCAGATAACTGGACAATGATTAGCATTGTCAGGGATAGCCTGGCAACTGATGGGAGATAGGGGGAGGCGGGTACTTACTGTGGAGGGGGATCATTGCTGGCATGCAGTGACCTGATTTCTGGCATGACCTAGAAGTGCTGGCATTGCACTGGGATGAATCTCTAGCACTTGCCCAGAAACTTTATGGATTCCATAATTTTCTGGGCAAGTGCTAGAGTGTCGCGCCAGTGCTTTCTAGTCACACCAGAAGTGACATCATTGCACCTTAGTGAAGATTGCTGCCTCCCGTTTTCCCAGCCAGCTTCCACCAGCCCACCAGATGAACATTGGTGGTCATCAGAAAGAATTACCAGGAATTTGCCCACCGTTAGTGGTGTTTGGGGCTCTGGCCAGGAGCTCCAGGTTAACAGAAATCCCAAAGAAATGATATGCAAGATCCAGGTTTTCTTACAAGGAGATTTTAATAAGCAATGATCAAATTGCAGAAATAGCAGGCTAAGCTCCCATCCGCTGGGTCTCCAACACACACATGCACAGCAAAACTTAGCTAGACCTTGAGATGAGATGCATAGCTAAAATGAAACATTTTATATCCTAATTACTGGCTACAAGTCAAGACATCATTAATCAAGCTATCCCAAACACCAAGATTAGCCAGGCCAGCTTGCACCCGGTGTCTAGTGGTGAGCAGAAACAAATCAGGCTATGAAGATAAGAGCTGCTAACAAGCATGAGAGAGAAAGATATTCTCTTGGGAGTGGCCTGAAGGCTGTCCCCGCACAAAACTCAAGGCACCTAAAGATCAAGCACCAGCCTGTAACAAAGATGGAGTTACAAAGGCTATACAAGTGGGCACCTGGTAAGCCTAACAATGATCTATCTTCCAAATCTTGTGTAGGATTCCTCTTGAACTCAACAGTTGTCAGGACTCATATTTAAAGATCTGACCTATGCCCCCCTCCCCATTAAAACCATTTTCCTTATGGTTAATGTACATGAAGTTAAATGTATTGTTAGTAGCATAATGCAAACAGCCAGTGGTTCATTTAATATTATACTTTGTGTAACTGTTGTGATATATTTTCCTATATAAACTGATTTCCCCCCAATGAAAGTGTCATTGTTCTAGACTCTAGCAGCAGTAACTGCAGTTTCTACTAGGAAAACTTCCAGTGTGTCTTGATCCAGACATGTAAGAGATCCATCATTGTGGGATGTCAATCCTCTCTGGATTTTAAATGTTTGGGGAAACACAGTGGACATTGAATCACTTCCTAGAATACTGTGGCTCAGTTTAGACATATGGTTTAGCATGACTGAACACAGGCTGCGTCTCTGCTCATGGTTAACTAGGATCCATTAAACCAGGATTGGAAGCCATGGTTTGAAGGTGGTTTATAAAGCATATCTAAGACTAACTATGGTTCCGTGTGATGTATGGACACAGACATACTGGCTGAATATTGTATTGTTCCCCAGCACCACTCCCATTCATCTGTCTATAGGAAAGGGGTGGAACCAGCATTTGTCAAGAAAACCCAGGATTTCACAACAAACCATGTTTTCATTTTGTCTGAATGGAGCCTATTATAGTTTCCTCCAAAGAGACAGCTAGAAAGGTAGAAGGTAGGTAGGAATGGGGAGACAGACAAGTGAGAGCCTATAGATGAAGGAAATCTTGATCTAGAAATGAAGAAATTTGTGATTACAACCAAATAAAAAAAAAATCCAACACTTCCATTTGTGTGTTCTGTTTCTCTCAAAGTTCTTCATATTGATCTCTCTTGCTCCCCAAAGGAACTATGCCTATCATGACCACTGTTCAGACTTCACAGTTTGTATGTACCCCATGCCCTCACTTGCCTTCACAGATGTGCAAGCTGCTCTGTCCAAATGACCCAAGTTTTTTTCTCCCACAACCCCTTTTACACCCCTGATAGTCTTTCTCTTCTAGCTCTTGAATCTTTGGGTATATTTCTATTTTATAACATATAGACTAATATCATAATAGACATTCCCTGTGACCAAGAAGAGTTGTTAATTGCAGTTCAGTGGGAGAGAGCTAGGGATATCTAACCATCTATAGTTCCCAGGATTTGGGATAAGCTGTGAGTTTGTAGGGGTAATATATCTTTTGTGTTTCTGCTCTCTTTACCTCACTGTTGTGCATGTTATGTGCTATCAAGTCCCTTCTGATTTACTTATGGCAGCCCTATGAATTAATGACCTCCAGAATATCCTGTGGTGAACAGCCTTGCTCAAAGAAGTGAAGAACTGAGCAGTGACTCACGAAAGCTCATAACCTACCATAAATGTTGTCAGTCTTTAAGGTGCTCCTGGACTCTTGCTCTTTTCTATTGCTACAGACAGACTAACACAGCGACCAATCTTGATCTAGCCTTGCTCAGGTCTTGCAAACTGAGGGCTGTGGCTACCTTTATGGAGTCGATCCATCGCATGTTGGGTCTTCCCAGGGGTCATTTCGTAGAGAAAGAGGTGCAGGAGCTCATTAGCATA